TTTACGACACTCATTTTTTTTTTTCTTTCCTCCTTCCCGTCCCCGCCTCATGAAAGATAACGGGCAGATGATTTGGCCAATCATGCTAAGATGATCTGCAGCCACTCACAAAGGGAAGTGAAGAAGCCACACTATACGTATAAATATATATGTTTTAAATCAATGAACGCAAAAAGTGAACTTTCTATAAAATATGTTAAAGTTTGGAGATATCACTATAAACTGTGCAATAACAGCTTCCAGTGCAATAGATTTACATCGGAGCAACAGTTTAATGCGACAGCCAGTCACTGAGCTAGGTGACTATGCCAGGCGAGTGCTCTATTTTGTAAGACTTCTCATAACCCCTTACCCCACGAACACTTCTATAAAGTAGGCAAGAAGGACCATCCCTATATTATATTAATAGATGAGAAACCGAAAGCAGAGAGATATTAGACTTGTTCACGATTGCCCACCGTTCATGGGACCAGTTCTTGTGTCCATGCAAAACTTCTTCCCATATATAGATCCTCTAACTCAACCCAGTTAAAATGTAATCTTTCTGACAGTTGGAAAAGCACTTCCAGATTTTGCAGTGCTGTAAGCACAGCATTGTCAGGATTATCATTGTATGGGATGCTGAAAAAAGCTATATATTTATTTGAACTGTCCTCTGCCCCATGGTGGCTAAGGACATATGCCAACTCCACTTGTAGCTAGAAGGAAACAGAGGAAATAAACAAACATTGAACATGTACGGTTTATAAAGTGCTTAATATACACTAAATCATTTAGTCCCCCCTCACAAGAGCCATAACAAGTAGATATTATTATACCCTCTTTGCAGATCAGGAAATTGAGGCTCTGAGATGTTATGTCAATTGTAGAAGGGTACAGAACTAGAAATTTGAAGAACTGGTATTTGAACACAGATCTATCTGAGGCCAAAGTCCTCTCCACCATACTGCTTTCTTAAGTGAAAAGCCTGCCAGAAACTGGCTCCAGAGAGTCTAATTGAAATGTGGGTATTTGCACCTGATGCCTGCTGAATGCACCCTAAAATAACTTTATTATTCATTCTTCTTCTTTTTTTTGTAATAGCTTCCAAAATAGTCTATATCCCTCTAGTTTCTCTCTGTAGAATCCAAGGTGTATATGCTGCCTAAAACACAATTCTCTTCACATCAAGACCTTTGATGATTTGGGCCCAATTATCTTTTTTAACTATTTTCTTCCTACTATCAATGGATCTGGTCTTCAAGACATGTGCTCTGGCAAGATGTTTAGATCAGAAACCTTTGAATTTGAACAGGATCCCTAGACATCTAGAGGTGGTTACTAACTTTACTTCTAATTTTTAAATCAACATTATTGAGTATAAATCACATAGCCCAACCTTCTCCGTGTTGCAAGAACCACTTGTTATATTGCACTGGGAAGAATCAGATGTGGATTGAGTGTGGAGCCAGTTAACCTCAGACTGAGGATTTTAGACTGGAACTTGGATCTATGAAGTTGTATTCCACCATTAATTCCTGGCTCAGCAAATGGCATCAGTACATTGTAGGTATTTGACTATTGATTCATTGAATGAAAGCACAGCAGTTAAGACCATCAGTTTTGGAGCCATAAATACATGGAGCCATGGCTTTGAGCATGTGACTTTACCTTTCTGAGCCTCAGTTTCCTCATGAGTAAAATGGAGGTAACAGTAGTAACTATACCATAATACAGTTATCATAAAGATTAAATGACGGCTGGGTGCGGTGGCTCATGCCTGTAATCCTAGCATTCTGGGAGACCGAGGCAGGCGGATTGCTTGAGGTCAGGAGTTTGAAACCAGCCTGAGCAAGAGCAAGACCCCGTCTCTACTATTAATAGAAAGAAATTAATTGGCCAACTAATATATATAGAAAAAATTAGCCGGGCATGGTGGCACATGCCTGTAGTCCCAGCTACTCGGGAGGCTGAGGCAGGAGGATCGCTTGAGCCCAGGAGTTTGAGGTTGCTGTGAGCTAGGCTGACACCACAGCACTCTAGCCCAGGCAGCAGAATAAGACTCTGTCTCAAAAACAAACAAATGAAAAAAGACCTGGTAACTATTGTTCTTCTTATTAATAAATAATGGTATGATGCAGGCTGAGGCCCATACAAATTCTATACTACAGTGGGCACATCACAGTGGCTTAAACTTGACCTAAGGGTACTGTGAGCATTCATAGATAAGTTATCTATACTTGGTCAATCTATAAATAAACATGAAGCACTTTCTGGGAGAAAGCAGATACCTGCAATGTAGAGAAAAGCCTCTGCCTTAGAATGTAGAGAATGTAGAGAAAGCCTCTGCCTTGGAATCCAGGGACTTGGGTTTTAGTCCTGTTTGGTGTCAACTCACTTAGTGATTTGGGGGCAAGTGCCTCCCTTCTCTGGGCTTCACTCTTCCCATCAGAAGGTGTTGTTCTAAGTCAGATATTGAGGATAGCTCAGGCCAGATTTAGAAAGTTGGCTTTTCTTTCCTTCTCTCTTTTCCTCATCCTGTGGGCTTCATAGTATTTTAGAGAAATTTGAACTAGCCACTGACATTTAAAAATTGAGAGCTTTCACATGAAAGTTTTTATTTCCAGAGTCTCTTAAAAATGGGAAGATGAGGCAATACAGGGCAAGCTTTCCCACAACTGTTGGCTGGAGATGCATAGCAACTTTCCCCTTTAGATGAGGCATGATGTTCTGTTGTTCTGTTTACCAAAGTCCCTACCATCCTCTATTACCTCCACATTGAGGCCTACAGGCAGTTGCCTTTTCTTTTTTTTTTTTTTAGAGAGATGTGTCTCACTCCATTGCTCAGAGTGGAGTGTGCAGTGTAGGCCAGGCGCGGTGGCTCATGCCTGTAATCCTAGCACTCTGGGAGGCTGAGGCGGGAGGATTGTTTGAGCTCAGGAGTTCGAGACCAGCCTAAGCAAGAGTGAGACCCCGTCTCTAACAAAAATAGAAAAAATTAGGTGGGCATGGTGGTACATGCCTGTAGTCCCAGCTACTCAGAAGGCTGAGGCAGGAGGATCGCTTGAGCCTAGGAGTTTGAGGTTGCTGTGAGCTAGGCTGACGCTACGGCACTCTGCCAGGGCAACAGAGTGAGTCTCTGTCTCAAAAAAAAAAGAGTAGAGTACAGTGACATAATCACAGCTCACTCACTGAAGCTTCAAACTCCTGGGCTCAAGCAATCCTACCTCAGCTTCCCTAGTACCTAAGGCTACAGATGCACACCACCATACCCAGTTAATTGGTTTTTCTTTTCTCTTTTTGCAGAGATAGGGTCTCACCATGTTGCCCAGGCTGGTTTCAAACTCCTGGTCTCGTGATCCTCCAGGCCCAGCTTCCGAAAGTGCTGGGATTACAGGCATGAGCCACCACACCTGGCCTCCTGTCTTTATTAAAAGTGAAATAATGAAAACTAGCGTGGTGGAAAATTATCTAATATCTGAAAATATGGCAAATGGTGATTAGGTGGCTTCTTAATATCCTTCTAAAGAATTCCTAAGAAACCCACATAAGGACATCTGACTCCAGAGAAATTTAACTTTGACTAACAATTGATTAGGACCCAGTGATGTTTTACAACTCTGTATATTTAGAGGTTAACTTGTAGAAAACTGACAAGATGCAGTAATTTTTGCATGTCCAATGAAGAAGACAACCTGAAAGGTTATGGTTTTATTGCCCTGTGAGACATGAAATAGGTTGAGTCCAACTTAGCAGTCATATTTCAGAATACCTTTGCCCATTAACTATTCTCAAATTCTTTTCAAACCACTCTGTCATGCTGTTGGTTCCTTCATTAACAATCAAATATGCTCACTCTCTACTGGCATGCGACTTGTTTTAAATCTGTTAAGGGTATTTTCCTTTGTCTATCATGTAAGTTCCAAAAGGTTAGTTATTTGTTATTAATCCTATTTATAATTGTTAAATCCAATTTATTTAGGTAGAAATAAATTACATATAGTAAAATTCTCACGTTTTAAGTGTACAGGTTAATTTTTTCTTTTGAGACAGAGTCTCACTCTGTTGGCTCGGCTAGAGTGCCATGGTGTCAGCCTAGCTCACAGCAACCTCAAACTCCTGGGCTCTGGCTATCCTCCTGCCTCAGCCTCTCGAGTAGCTAGGACTACAGGCATGCAGGCATGCACCACCATGCTCGGATAATTTTTTCTATATATATTTGTTGGCCAATTAATCTCTTTCTATTTTTAGTAGAGCTGGGGTCTCGCTCTTGCTCAGGCTGGTTTCAAACTCCTGACCTTGAGCGATCTGCTGGCCTTGGCTTTCCAGAGTGCTAGGATTACAGGCATGAGCCACCGCGCCCAGCCCCATAAGCCGGTTTCTATTGGCTTGTTTTATAACCCCATCAGTACCCTAAGGACTTCCCCGGTACTCGAACCCCCAGCACCGCCCGAGTCTGAACACGTCCCCACATGCCGGAGCTCTCAAGAGCTGTCCAGGTCCCAGGCCTGACGCTACAGCTAGCCTCATCTTCGGCTTGGCTAGCCTTGGCTAGCCTCATCTTTGCCTGCTCCAACCGTAGTGTCCCAAGTGGACACTCAATGCCCTCTCACTGCATGGGACGAAGTTTCGACTTTTACAACCAGTAAGTTTAGTCTTTCGAGGTCGGAACGTTTGAAGAACTTTCTCGCCGCAGGCACGCCACTTACACCTAAATCCAAGTCAGGCCCCCTACGTCAGAATTTTCCTTCACGGGAAGTCAGCCCGAGGCAGCAAGTCATCGTTTATGTGGCACTCTTTATGGTTCCTCTTGCTTTGCTCAGCCTTTATACCGAACTAAGTCATGTCCTTATCTCTGAATTTACACCAGTACCTCAGAGTCACATTTCTTGAGCAGCCTGTATTTGAAAAAAAATAAAGAGTTGAGGTTATTCGCAGTCCTTATCCTTCCTAACATGGCTACCTCAGATTGTCGGCAGCCCCAGAGGGACTTCCGGTTTCCCGGCAGGCCCGAGTGCGGCTGAACTTCCGGCCTCATGACGCAAGGGCGGGCTGCTCTTTTCTCTCTTTCCGGCAGTGTTCGCGAGTGCCGTAGCCATGTCTTACGCTGCAGATGATTACGAGTCTGAGGTAACTTGCCCTCAAGCGCGTAGTGGGCTCCACGAAGGGGCAGAGCTCTCTGGATGTTGGGCCCTGGGGTGAGGCATTGTCAAGGCCTCTCCGGGAGCCTCCGCGGGCCACGATCAGCTCCAGCCAGCCTCTCGCGCGGCCCTCGTGCTGCTGCCACAGCTCCGCCTCCTCGGCAGCCCTGGCTCTGCCCGCCCACTTCGCGAGCCTGGTCCGCCTGTCCTCACTTTTCCCAGGACCGCGGCGGGGGGCTGGTTAGACGGTTCTGGGTTTCTGTAACCGAGCTCTTTCGGTCTGCGCTCCGTCTGGTCAGACCTCACTGATTTCCGCAAACTCTTGGGCTTCGCTCTGCTGTGTTCCACCCGATTTGGTGTATTGTCAGTGTCTGTCTGCCCTTTTCTCGCAGGCGTGTGAGTTCCTCAAAGGCAGGGACAGTGTCTAATCCGCCTTTGTATCCTTCGATCTGTGCTTGATATATAGGCGCTAGGACGAGCATTTCGAATTCACGAATTGGTGACTGTTCTCACTGTGCCTCTTTCCTCACAGGCGGCTTATGATCCATATGCCTACCCGGGCGACTATGATATGCACACAGGTGAGACCGTGAGTTTGGCTAGTTGAGTCCTTCTAGGGATTGGCACCTTTTTGAATATCTCAGAACCAGCTCTGACAAGCGTCTGTTAAAAAACTGCTTTTTGATGGTCCAGGTTTGGAGTCAGTTATTAGCTCTTGGAGGGATCGTGAGTCTCATTAATGAGACTTTTATTGTGGTCCACCTCCTAGTCTCAGAAGAGGAGGATTACTGACCTGGCTTTAAACTATTAGCTGAAGAAGAAAGTCTTGATGTGGAAATTTTAAGTGATTCAAACCAAGCCCAAATGAAATCTTTTGGGGAGGCTTTTGAGCTTTCTTGAAATGTTATAGTGGTTTGGCTTGACGTAGTGTTATGCATTCTGAGTATTTTACATGAAATATTTCATTTATTACTTAAAACAGTTCTGTATTGTATGTACATTAATGTTGTCTCCTGAAGATGAGAAAACTTAGAGAGGTTTAGTAATTTGCTGCAAGCCATATAGTTAGGAGGTGGCAGTTATTCATTCAAAAAATATTAAGTGGCTATTACCACTTAACCCTTCTGCACAGTCCACCTCTCTCCCTTAAACTCACATATACCTGTTCTAGGCCCTGAGGGTACAGCTGGGCATAAGACTGGTAAGGTTCTTGACCTCATAGACTTTAGATTTCCGGGACTAAACAGATAATAGGTAAAAATATGACTTTAAGTAGTGGTAATTGTTCTGAAGAAACAAGGGAGATGGGATTAGGAGGTTTATATCTCTGGAGTTTTTGAAAGGGAACTATACCGGTTTTTATAGACACAGATTTAGTTTGTGGGGTGATCTTGCCGTTTTGTTCCATTATATGTGTGGGTTTGAAAGCATTCTATAAAGTAGTTATTATATCCAATCTCTAGGAGATCCAAAGCAGGACCTTGCTTATGAACGTCAGTATGAACAGCAGACTTATCAGGTGATCCCCGAAGTGATCAAAAACTTCATCCAGTATTTCCACAAAACTGTCTCGGATTTGATTGACCAGAAAGTATATGAGTTACAGGCCAGTCGTGTCTCCAGTGATGTCATTGACCAGAAGGTGTATGAGATCCAGGACATCTATGAGAACAGGTATGGGCCACTGGCTAAAATGACCTCTTTCTATGTAAGACTGGCCTAGTGATGCAGCTCCTACAAACAGGGTGGTGTTTAATCATTTTTTTTTATAAAGCGTGCTCTGGGGGTCTTTGTGATTCCTTGGAGCTAGGGACATGTAATTTTCTTTTTTCTTTTTTTTTGAGACAGGTTCTCACTGTGTCACCCCAGTCTGGAGCACAGTAACATCATCATAGCTCACTGCAGGCTCAAACTCCTGGGCTCAAGCAATCATCCTACCTCAGCCTCCCCAGCAGCTGGGACTTCAGGCATGCACAGCCACACCCACTAATTTTCCTAATTTTTGTAGAGACAGGGTCTCGCTCCTGCTCAGGCTGGTCTTGAACTCCTGGCCTCAAGTAATCCTCCTGCCTTGGCCTCCTAAAGTGCTAGGATTACAGGCATAAGCCACTGTACCCAGCAAGGGACATGTAATTTTGTTGGACTTTTTATCTCCAGAAACTTGTACGAGGCTTAAAATAATACCATTATTAATAATTATAATAACAATTAGCATTTATTGTCAGAATAGATCGGGTAGTGTTCATAGCGCTTTTCCCGTATTTACTCATTTATTTATTTATTTATTTTTTTTGAGACAGAGTCTCGCTTTGTTGTCCAGGCTAGAGTGAGTGCCGTGGCGTCAGCCTAGCTCACAGCAACCTCAAACTCCTGGGCTCGAGCGATCCTTCTGCCTCAGCCTCCCGAGTAGCTGGGACTACAGGCATGAGCCACCATGCCCGGCTAATTTTTTATATATATATCAGTTGGCCAATTAATTTCTTTCTATTTTATAGTAGAGACGGGGTCTCGCTCTTGCTCAGGCTGGTTTTGAACTCCTGACCTTGAGCAATCCGCCCGGCTCGGCCTCCCAAGAGCTAGGATTACAGGCGTGAGCCACAGCGCCCGGCCTACTCATTTATTTTTAACAGTAACCCGCTGAAGTAGATAACTATTGTTTTTCTCATTTTATAGATGAGGAAACAGCACAGCAGTAAATCACATAGCTAATTAAATGGAAAAGAAGTAAAAATTTATCTGGAATAATTATTTCCACATATAATCAGTATTTTAAAATTAATGAGACATTTTACTTTTTTTTGTCTTATAAATCCAGTGTGTATCAGAAATAATATATTGGTGGGGGCAATGGCTCACGATTATAAGCCTAGCACTCTGGGAGGCCGAGGTGAGCGGATTGCTCGAGATCAGGAGTTTGAAACCAGCCTGAGGAAGAGCGAGACCCTGTCTCTACTATAAATAGAAAGAAATTAATTGGCCAACTAATATGTATAGAAAAAATTAGCCGGGCATGGTGGCTCATGCCTGTAGTTCTAGCTACTCGGGAGGCTGAGGCAGTAGGATCACTTGAGCCCAGGAGTTTGAGATTGCTATGAGCTAGGCTGATGCCATGGCACTCACTCTAGCCTGGCCAACAAAGTGAGACTCTGTCTCCAAAAAAAAGAAAAGAAAAGAAATGTTATTTTATTTTTTTATTATAAAGCAAACACAAAAATGAGGTTTATTGAGGAGAGAAAGATAGCATTATAGAACAAGAGCCAGATATAGGTTTACAGAGCGTGATATATACACCACAGATGACAACCAGACCCCTTGTCTCAGCAAAGGGAGAGCAAAAGGAGGATGCAGAAGGCATTGATTTGTATTTAGATTTTATAAAGTTTATGATTGGAAAAGTAGAGCCACATAATCTGGTAATTCCAAATAGATCCAAAAGTTTTCCAATAACTGAGTTAAGTATTGGTTTTTAAATTTAAATTAAAATTAACTGAAATTTATAATTCAGTTCTTCAATCACAGTAGCCACATGTAGCTAGTGGCTACTGTATTGGGCAGTGCAGGCAAAGGTGATAGTTGAGGCCAGGCATGTGGTCGCTCTTACCCTAGCATAAAGTAGTGAGAAGATTGGTTGGTGCCTGCGGAATTATGTTTTTTTAGGGGTGGGTGGGCAGGCAAAGACAGGACCAATAAGAGAGAGCAGAAGGAAAAGTAGATATTAGTTTGGTGCAAAAGTAATTGCGGTTTCAGACTGAAATTTAAATCGTTATAAGTAGGCTCAGACATTATTTTATTTTATTTTATTTTGCTGAGATAGTGTGTCACTCGGTGTCCTTCAGTAGAGTACAGTGATATGATTATAGCTCACCGCAAGCTCCAACTCTTGGGCTGTGAGTGATCCTTCTGCCTCAGCCTCCCGGATAGCTACGACTACAGGCATGTGCCACAGTGCCTGGCTGGGTTTTGTTTTTTTGTGTATATTTTGTTTTTAATTCGGTAGAGATGAGGGTCTCACTGTTCAGGCTGGTGTTGAACCCCTGAGCTCCAGCTATCCTCCCTCCTCAGCCTCCCAGAGAATTAGGATTATGGGCATGAGCCACCACACTGGCGAAACATATCTTTGTTAATCAAAATAGGAACCATTACAATCCACACATTTTTGCCAAAGAGAAATAAGTTTATTTCTGTAGCTTAAATATCCATGTTTCAGTATTTGATGAACTCTTGGAAAGCATTTTCTGCATCCTGCTGGTTGTGGAAACATTTTTCCTGCAAAAAGTTGTTGAGATGCTTGAAGAAGTGGTAGGTGATGGGTGAGAGATCAGGTGAATATGCTGGATGAGGCAAAACTTCGTAGCCTAATTTGTTCAGCTTTTGAAGCATTGCTTGTTGGTTGTGTGATGTGCAGTCGGATGTTGTCATGGAGAAGAATTGGGTCCTTTCTATTGACTAGTGCTGGCTGTAGGCATTGCAGTTTTCAGTGCATCTCATCAATTTGGTGAGCATACTTCTCAGATGTAATGGTTTCACTGGGATTCAGAAAGCCTTGGTGGATCAGACCAGCAGCAGACCACCAAACAGTGACCATGACCTGTTTTTAGTGCAAGTTTAACTTTGGGAAGTGCTTTGGAGCTTCTCGTCCAATCACTGAGTGGTTGTTGCCGGTTGTCATATAAACTCCACTTTTCATCGCACGTCACAATCCAATCAAGAAATGGTTCGTTGTTGGGTACGATAAGGGAAGGATCACTCACAACCCACTTCAAAATGACAATTTTTTTGATTTTCAGTCAGCTCTCGAGGCACCCACTTAACAAGCTTTTTCACCTTTCCCCAGTTTGCTTCAAATTCCAAACAGCCATAGTAGAATGGTCAACATTGAGTTATTTGGCAACTTCTTGTATAGTTGTAAGAGGATCAGCTTCAATGATTGCTCTCAGTTGGTCATTGTCAACTTTTGATGGCTGGCCACTGCACTTCTCATCTTCAAGGCTCTTGTCTCCTTTGCAAAACTTCTTTTTATTTATTTATTTATTTTTATTTTTTGTGGATGAGGTTCTGGGGCCCCAAGAGGGAGGCCCCAGAAGTCACCTGCAAAACTTCTTGAACCACCACTGCACTGTACGTTAGCAATTCCTGGGCCAAATGTGTTGCTGATGTGGCGTATTGTCTCTGCTACTTATGGCCCATTTTGCTTTCTCCAGGCGTGGTGGCTCACACCTATAATCCTAGCACTCTGGGAGGCGAGGCGAGCAGATTGCTCAAGGTCTGGAGTTTGAAAC